GTTGACTGTAAATCATTAATTTTTTTTTTCAGTATACATATTATTTCAAAGTACTCGAGGGATATCTTCCTCAGCAGCGGGCTTTTGAAGGGAAGCTGTTTCATGTGTGCATTGCACCATGGGGAAAAGCTCGAAAAACAACATGTGGGTCAACCGCTTCATCCACCAAGAATTGCACCCGCCACTAGCAAATAATAACTTATATTCCATTGGTTTAGACATTCAGTTGTAGATAAGCGGAAATAAATTACAAGAAAGAAAAGGTTTGATCATATCGAAATCGAAGACATCAATAGATGTTTACGCGTTGAATTGTTTTACTTTAATAACAACAATAAAGATGCAGTTGTGGTTTCTACATCCAAGAGATTTTTGGCTTCCTTTCAAAGAAATTAATTTTTATATTTAAAATTCTCTGTACTCGAAGTTCTTATTAAAGTAGCTTTTATCAGTTAAGGCTACTTTACTCCTAAAGAATCAATTTAATTCTTTTTTTTAAAACCTACATTTAAGTTTTTCTATTTTTAACCGAAGGATTTTAAACTAAAATGAAGTTTATAGTAAATGAAATATACAATTTGTAATTTTAGGACAAAAAGTAAGCTGATACTGAGCGCTATTAAGTTTATGATATTGTAAGCACTTCGAAATTTTACAATTGAACTTTTATTTTTCCATGTATAAATCGTCGTAAAGCAGTGCTGATTTCTTAAAGTTTTATAGGTTAAGAAATTTCTACTCGTGCTAGATTAAAAAGTGTTGTGAGCAGAAAACATTTCATTACATACATATCCAAACGGCAATATCCAACGTGGCTCGATTCAACACTTGTGTGTTACGAAACATTCATTTATTTCAGAGTTACTGCTGGATATACAGTAAAACCTCAATCGAATTTTGCCTACGAAACTGAGCTTAAACAATAAAATGGGGGGGGGGAGGATAATTTTTAATCGATGGATCCGGAAATCTACGATCTCCATTTCTCTTTAAAACTAAGTTTTACTTCCCCGTTAATTAATAGGGGGACCGAAAAGTAATGTCGCTTTCTTACATTAAATTCAAACGAATAAATTTGTAACAAATTTTTATTTTTAATCAATAATATAATCACCCTCGTTATCTGCAACCTTTTGCCATCTAGTATACCGATTTCAATCCCAGACCGATTAAAATCAATTGGTTTTTGAGTAAAATCTCTTGAGATGGCATTTTGGACATCATGCAAATTTTCAAATTTTTTGTCACTAAGAAAATGTTGTAGGGATCGGAATAAATGGAAATCCGAGGGTGCGATATCGGGCAAATATGGTGGGTGAGGCCAGTACCTCCCATCCCTATTCATTATATTTTTCCAGTGTTCGTCTTGCACAGTGCGATCTTGCATTGTCGTGTTGCAGAATGACGCCTTTTCCGTTGACAATCGTCAGATATTTTTCGATTAAAGATTGGTTCACTCGATCCAATTGTTCACAATAAAGGTTTACATGTTAAGTTTTTCCAGGTTTCAGCAATTCAAAATGAACAATTTCGCGAATACTCCATCAAACACCCAGAAGCGCCTTCTCGGGATGTAAACCCTTTGTAACCCCTATTAAAACTGCCTTTTGAGTTTTGGATTATCATATAGGACTTATATTTTTTGCCTCCACTAATCAAACGATCAAAAAACGGTTCTGTATGGTGCCGTTGAAGCAATACGTTGCATGTGATGGATAGGTTGGCTTTGTTCTTTTCGGACAGATTATGGGGTACTCAAACACCAGCTTTGCTTATTTTTCCATTCTGCTTTAAATGTTCCTGGATGGTCGACCAAGGTTGATTAAGAGTGTTTGACATGGATTTGCTTCCACTTCTGAACTTAGCATGTTGTTGTCGACATGCGCAGAAACGACATTACTTTCCGGTCCCCCTATTAATATACATAGGTAAGGGATGTAATCTTTTTGGTCAAAATTCGATAGTGAGTTTTCAGTGAATAAGCATAAACTGGCGCCTCCGCAAAATTTTTTTACCTATTTTTACAATGTTTTTTGTCTGAACGTGTGTGATGATTTTTTTTCCTTTTCCTATGTGTGTGACGTTTTAAGCTTTCTGCATTCATGTAAAGAGTTGATTAAATTTTAGGTAAAACTTGAGAACCGGAAGTAGTACTTTACAGAAAACTCAAAACAGTCTTTAATGGACAACTGGAAATGGTACCTTTCAAAAAACGTAATTTAAATATACGTTTTTATTGATGTATAACATTAATAAATATTTGCTTTGTACTAAACGAAGTATTTGAACTGTCTGCCTTGAATAAAAATTATTCATTGTTTACGTAGTTGGCCTTTATCTACTTAAGCATCACAGTGTCTTTTTTAAATCTTGTTTGAACACTCTCATCATCACTTCTGTTACGGTTCAACAGATACTGTCATCTAACTTCGTGTTTTGATTTGTTGTTTGATCCAGGTGTATATTTTGTGTTTAGGCATTTCATGTAGTCTGTGCTTTATAAAATGTCAGCAAACTATGAACATCTAATTATAACCATTAAATAGAAACATAAAGCTGGGAGACAAGTGTAAATGGCACTCAATTGTGAATCACTGGAGCGGCTTATGGAGCTGGTATCTCAATTGTCTCAGACTAGATAAAATGAAAATTTAAAACTTTAGAAATTATCTCAAGAACATTGAACAGTAAAACTATGAAGCAGGCTGAATTCATGCAATGGCATATGAAAGGTAATCCCAACAAGACTTGTGACTCACCTCAAAAAAATCTTAAGTATTCACAGAGAGAAAAAAAGAAAGATTTTAATGATTGCTTTCTCTACATTAACATAGTTTAGATTTCTCACAGCTCACGATCCCTCTCACTTTGAAAGAAAGGCGAGACGTTTGGCCGCCATTACTGCTTATGCATTTTTGCCATGCATCGCAACGCCTTCATAAGGGTTCAACACCCTTATGCAAGCCGGCTGCTGTTCGAAAAGACAGAAACTTTCCCAAGGGTGCCCCGGAATAAAGGAGAGCACACAAACTGTATATCAGTTTCTACCTTGAATCAGAACGCTGGAACCAGAACGCCAGTTTGGCGTTTTCCACAAAGGCGAGGGAAAACTTATGCAAGCCCGATTTTCATTTTAATTATTATTTAACCAATAATTACTGCAAATTAAGTAAGGGTATTTTTAATGGGATAGAAATGATTTACATTCAGCATTTTTAATACCCTCAATTTCGAAACCAAGAAAAGTTTCCTTTCTGGGTGTCTGAAAGTATAAAAAGGGGAAAGAGGAAAAAATAAGGAAGAAGTCAGAGATCGTATGCAGAATTATTTTCATGCCTTCAAAATACTACTACTAATAATGACACTCTAGATCCGGAATGTAGTTTTTGATAATTAAATAAGAAAACCAGAAAGAGAGGCTGTGTAGAAAATCAGAATGTGGGAGTTACAGAAAATAACACTGATTTGTGTGAAAAAAGAACTAGGGTTCATGATAAAAAAATAGAAAATTGCGATATGATGAAGTACGGTATGTAAACCAAATAACGTCGCAGGTTACGAGGCTGAAAAATTTGCGAAACATTGGTAAAAGAAAAATTAAATGGGAGGAGGTGATATATTCCATTTCTAACAGTAAAAGTGTTTTTTATACAAGGATTTTCAGGAAGAATCACACGGTTAAAAAATCATAACTATTCCGCTTTAATCCTTTTTGATGGAATAATATATAGATAGAAAGAGAGTTTCTCCAATACTCGGGTTGTCTGTGTAATAGGAAATCATCTGACGAAAATATGCAGCGCATCCTACAGAATTTCCCAAGTAGTCTATAGAAATCTACTTACCGTGCCGGTACGGAATGACGATCAGGAGGATGGAAAATGATTTTGATAAAATGCGTATTTGAAATTGCGTATTTAAAATTTTTATTTTTGTAGCTGATGCAGCTTGCTAAATGAAGCTGCTTGGCATTATAGATAGTATAACATTACTCTGAGAACAATTCCAGTAAGCTTGTTCTCTTATTTTCCATTTCTTTTAGCTACAAAATTTTCTGAATTCACCCCAAGCTCAGTTGTCAAGTTATTATTATCTCCATTGATAAAATCCGCAGGTAAATGTTTTAAAATTTCGCGTTTGAATTTAAGGACGACAAAATAATTTGTCGATATGAATTAAAATTCTTCAATTAGAAATTCTGATTTAAAGTGCAAAACATGTGCCAGAAGAAGGGGTATTAATAGATCTTCCCTCACTAACTACTGTTGGTATCTAAATCATTCACTGAAGATTTCCTCTGTGACGCAGAGGATTTCCTTAGGTATTAACTAGAGTTTTGCTGTATTTTATATCACAGTAAATTTAATCACTTTTAACTGTTGTAATTCTGATGATCGTATTTAAAAGATATTTAAACACGCTTTCATCTTATAAATTTACTTTTTACTCATTTTCTTTCTCCTTTTAATTTTACTCAATGCATGAAGTATTCCCTCGATACTTGGGAAGATATGAACTTAGTGTTTGTGTAGAGTACGAATTCCGATGAAATGAGGCCCAAATCGGAACTTAACCCAAATTTGCGAAACATACGCACGCTGTTTTAAGACTTACATAGGCTTTTATTTAAAATCAATGACACTAAAGATTAATTTCCTCCTAATTTTAAAGTTGTCTTGATTTCCTATTTCTATTGGCATACTCCTTTTGTTATACTTATAAAAACGTCGCTCATTATAAATATTAATATCGTGCTACGAAGCGGAACCATATCTTTAATTGTTTGAGGGATAACCATTCATTCCCAAGGCTCTGATTTTCAAATTATTACTAGGATTCCGGGACATGCACCAAAGATGTAGAAAGATTCACAAAAGACGGATAATAGAAAAAAAAAAAAAAGAAATAGTTCATGAAGTATTTTGTGCGAAATTATTGAATTCTAAATGTATTTTATCGCTATTAATTGATATTATATACGTCTTTTATTTTTCGTTTAGAATTGCCCTGAGAAGATGAATGAAAAGGTACCTCTTTTTCTAAGTATCCTGATTGCTCTTATTGGCTCTCTCGCTGCTGATGAATGTCCTACTTTGTTTTTGCGATATAGTCAGGATCATTCTTACTGCAAACCTGCTAATGAGGCATGCAATATCCTACAATCCTACGAAACAGCTGATGATATTGAAGTCATTCTGGATGAGCATAATATGTACAGGAGTAAAATAGCCACAGGAAAGGAGCCAAGTTTACCACCAGCTACCAACATGCTACAACTGGTATTTATAGAAATTTTACATTTTGTTGTCAGTTTAATACCTGGCTATATTTTAAATTTATTAACTGTATTTTCGGGTTTTCACACATGTTTAACAGAAGAGTGAAAGTTACTTATTTCAAATTCGGTAATTGAGATTCTCAGCTTTCCATTCACGTTACAGCTGTGAACTTTCCTTTTCTCACTTCAAACTAAATTGAATTGAACAAAATGAAAACGTACTAAAGGAATAAGATATTAAAAATTATTTCTATCATTAATTTAAAAAAAATATTTTGTACAAGGTAAGAGTGGTATTTTACTACCTAAAGTGTAACTTTAAAAAATTTATTTTGTACAAGGTAAGAGTGTTTGGTATGTTACTACCTAAAGTGTAACTTATATTACATAGAAACTGCCTGTAAACAGAACACCTTTATATGTGATCTTTAAAGCGGTATCTCTTTCTAAAGGCACGTAGTCCCCGAGCAAATAACAATCAGTAACCACACTTAATCTAATCTAAGCTGTGATCAGTAACTTAATTTCCCTCTTTTCTTTTACGCAATAATCTGAAAAAAAAAAAAAAAAAGTATTTTTAACCATATCTGCACTGTAATGGAAATGCATGTGTCAATGTCTTATAAGCCCTACTAGACTGGAAGCGATTTATCGCCTTTATTTTAAAGCAAATGACTAAGTCTTAGAAAGGTTGAAATAAACATTTTGTTTAATTCTTAAAAGTACAGAAGGCACTACTTGTGCGACAGACGAACCTCTGCTACTTGAGAGTATTCAAATCAACATATGATAAAATTAAACTCAAATGAAAGTAACGTAGTCTGAGACTAAGCGTACAATATACTGCTACTTAAGGCTGGCTCAAGCGTATTTTAAAAATCGTCTAACAAGACGATAAAGCCAGAATAACTGGCAGAGCTGGCGATATTACGTAATTGCAACGCACGGCTCCCAGAAGCTCCAGTTCTGTTGTTACTAATGCTTACTTGTCTGACCTATAGTTAGCCCAAGCCCACGAAATACCTCGTGGCAAGGAGCGCAAGATACGCTGCCGTTGGTAACAGCCTTGAGCACCCTACAAGTGACAGCGCGATTTAGATTAGTTCTGCTCTCAATTTTGACGGAGACCCCCCCCCGGGGGGACGGGTGCAAGGGTCTCCCAACTCTCTTCCCCTACCATCAGCCTCTCGAGAGGACTTTCGGCTCGCCACATATTTAGAATGATCTTATATCTCACTGACACTATACATTTACAAACATCCATGCCCTCTCCCGGATTCCCTTCGGCACGTCAGTCAACGACGCTAACCACTATACCGGTTAGGCGGCCGCTCTAGTTCTAAAACACTGAAGATGAGGACTGGTAAGGCCTACGGAAAGTAAATGTCCAACTTGTAAATAACTGATTAACATAAAATTCTACGAAAGTTTTAGTTTAACATTTACTTCTGGTTGCAAATTTGTTCGACGATGAGCGTTTATTCATCAGAATAATGGTACAAGAAACCTAAATTTAAAATAATTTCCATTAAAATAAACAAATTTATTACGTAAACTCATTTTTAATGTGCACGATAATTTTGGAAGCAAAATTTAAGAATATGAATTTACTTTTTTCCTATGCTGGTATCTGATTCAGTAGAACCAATAATTCATGAAATGGACGTACAGTGTTCGATTGAAATGGTTAAAGACCATTAGGGAACAGGTATATATTTATATGACGAAAATTACATATTATGCGCTTCATATGGTGATAATGAAGGATGTGTTACATTTTCGCATTACTTTTTTTTTTTTTTTTTTGCCCAACCACAGAATGATTGCAGAAATTTAGCAAGGTTTAAATTTTCGGACTCTAACTTATGAAATAAATTTGTAATTGTGCAACACAGAGCAGAATACAGGTGCTTACTGCAGAATGATGCATTTTCTTTTGGTTTCATTTTCAGCCTTAGAACAATACTATGTTTTTAAACTAAAGATTTTATACTTAATTTATTTTAAATTGGTGATTTTTAATTGTTGTGTGTCCTAAACGACGTGTAAGTTGCTTTTGAAATTACAAGTAGAATGCTGTTTAGTTTGATCAAATCATCATTCTACTTGTGCCGTTCAAACCGTATAGTGGTTAGTGTCGCTGACTGCCGTGCCGAAGGGCCCGGGTTTGAATTCCGGAGAAGGCATGGATGTTTGTAAATGCAATAGTGTCGGTGCGGCACTCTAAATATGTGGCGAGCCGAAAGTCCTCTCATGTGGTTTGGTGGAAGGGGAAAGGGATGAGGGAACTTGGATCCCTCCCCCCAGGGTGCTCTACATCAAAATTGGGGGCAGAACTGAGCTAAATCGCATTGTCACCTGAATGGTGCTCAAGGCTGTTGCCAACGGCAGGCGTATTCTAGCGCTCCTTGCCACATGGAATTTCGTGGGCTTGGGCTGACTACGTCAGACGAGTAAGCATAAGTAACAACAACATCATTAATTTCAAATAAATTGAATGCATTTGTATAACGTTATTTTTTTACTTTCAGGTTTGGGACGACGAATTAGCTGCAGTTGCTCAGAAATATGCTGAACAATGCAAATTTGAACACGACTGCAGCAACTGTAGGAGAGTGCGTAAGTATTAAACATGTCACCATTAAATGAAAATATTTACTGAAGGGAAAGTCTTATTCCTTGTTATCACGCAATTATTTCGTTTTTCTGATAATAAGGTGGTGGTTCTGATCCATTTGTAAATGGTTGAAAATGCAGAATCTTATATAAATTCTTCAAATAGGATGCTTTCGAACAAATATTAGGGTCATTAGTTGTCTCAATGCAAAAGAAAATGCATATTAGCATCTAAAGGATTTTTATTTTCTTTCTACCAAATAGTTATATTTTAAATTATACAAGCTACGTAAAGTGGAATTGTACTGAAATAAATGTTTTAACATTTTTTAGTAGCTTTTATACGTATTCTCTTGTTTGTTAATCAACATTATTTTACAAATTTCGGAGACATTATTTCGAATGCTATCAGTTTAATACAAAGAGTAAAAAGATAACCTTCTTTCTATCAGTTCTCTGAATGTTTCGCCCGAATCTGCTTAGGAACAGCCTCGAATCAGCAGAATCGCAGAATTGAGAGACCTTCGACGCATAGATATTAGAGTGATTTGTTCTAAAATTATCCCAAATTTGAAACTTATATTAAAAGCAATGCTGCTATCTATTTGTTACGTCGCTGTCCAAACTGATATTTGAACTCCGCTTTTTTTTCGAAAATGGAATAAAAAGTGGCAAAGTTTATGCAGTTTATGAAAAGTTCTTCGACTGAAAAATTGTTAGCCAATTTTATATAATAAAAATATTCAATATCAAACTACTGATCAAGAAAAATAAAATTACTCAGGGAGTATGACAAGAGAAGGCGGCTGTTTTATTCAAGAGGTTTCAGTAAATCTTGTATATTTGTAATCTTCGATCAAAAAAATATATGGTCCGTTAAATCCCTGAGCTAGAAAGGTCTTTTCTTGGAGTTAATGATAGAGAAAAAATAGAAATAAGCGCGTAGATAATGATGTCTTGGATTCCTTTTAATCAAAATTATTATCGAGTGTTTTTTTTAAACTTAGTCCTTAGAAACTGAAGTCCTTAGAACTTGGTGTTATTGGCATAAATCCAATGGACAGAAATAGGGGCTTGTTATTGTACAATAATACTCAAAGAAAATACGCTAACGGCATAAAAAAATGAAAAATTACCAGACGGCAATTTAGACAGATGCAAACAATCAGAAAGCGGGTTTGCATTTTGAAAAGTGTAGCGGAAATTGAACGGAAAGTAATCAATTGGAAGTTTCCGGAGCATTTGTTTCCGGATTTCTACTGTTCTAGGAAGTCGTTATGCGTTAGCACCTTGTCTTTATGAAAAATAAAAATAAAAAATGCTGAGGAAGGTTTAAAGATGTAGTTAAAAATATTTTCTATACACCTCCGAAAACTAGACCCTTCCCCCCAATCTTTATTTATTTATTTTTAAAATCACTGCAATAGCATTCATTGCGTTTGAGGGTCTCTTTTAAAAGGTTACATTGCTTAAAGTAAAAGGATCCATTCTTACATATATTTAAGATGATAGGGTATATCGTAAAGCCTTTAAATCGTAGAACAAACTTTTGAAAACAGAAATTTAGGCCTGTGGAAGATGTGTAAATTGTTTGGAGCATAGGAACTTTACACGTGTGCTGCCTAGAGTAAAGTGCCTATGCTACGAAACCGGCTCCAGTCTCGCTAGCGACGAATTTTAGAAGAAAACGAAGCTATTGAAAAAGTTCTGAGAGATAGCAAAAAACATGCAGAGTGTCACTAATTTAGCATGAAATATATATCGACTTAACTATATAAATATAACTTATATAAATCAACTTATATAAATCAACTTAACTATTAGTATTGACATTTCGTAATTCATACTATGAGCAGAAAAATGCAGATCCTTCGGTAACTGATCACTAGCATAAATGAGTTAATAATCATGTGTGAGACATTTTAATAAGACGGATTCAAATTCATTAATAAAACTAAGACGTGTCAGCAAGATACAATTTGTTACAGTATGATATTTCAGCAGTAGTAGGACACTATGAATAGAAGAACGCAAAGTAATTTTCTAGAATTAAAAAATGTCAATCAGCATATTCGATGTGTCCACCATGGGTAGCAACACACATCTGCATTTGAGTTAGAATTTATTCTTGGATGCACAGTCTTTGAAGTTTTGGGACTGCATACTTGCTTAATATGAATTCTTAGATTGTTAACAATGCAGAATGGTCGGTTATACATCCGTACTTTCACGTAACCCTACAGGAATTACAACAGGTTTAGATCAGGCGACGTAGATAATCGCTCAACATTAACCTTCATAACCGATTGTCCCGGGCCTGAAACAGTCCTTGTGGTGGAGTTCTATTATTTTGTTAACACAGAAAACGCAGGTGAGCTAACGGCAGGTCATCTAGAAAACCACATATTGTGATTTGAAATGGCTCGGATTATCATGTGTCCAGCATCAATGTTCAGTTAATGTTCAATCGTGGAATACAGGTCCTATGCGACGAGTGTTCCAAATCTTCACCAGACATTGCAAGACTTCTGCACCTGATAACGTACCTCTAGCTGCCATAATGGTTTTCTTCTGTCCAATAATGCGAGCTGTGTCGGTTTAATACTTCGCTGTTACCGAATGTCACCTTGTCCGTCTGCCTAATATTAACAAAGAAATCCAATTGCACATCTAATGGATTTATCACGAATTTACACCAGTTTTACCATTTATGAAAACCTCTTGCCAACAGTCTTTGTGTTAGTATTATAGGTAAGCATAAAATTCATGTCGTACAGACCAAATGTAAGGCCACATGCCGCACTATGTCACTCATACGGCAGTGTGGATGAAGTAACACATAGGCAGGATGTCCTCTAGCTACACATGCAAACCTGCAAATACCGGTCTACCCAAATAGAGACGAGTTGTAACGACCCCTTGTTTCTCTAAATTGGCAAACGACATTAATCATAATAGCTATACTAGAAGAAGAATTTATAAAACGTAATGCATACTGCTCTGCTGCCTTTCTTGTTTGACGATCGCTTACCATTTACAATAGAACTATATCGTAGCACTCTTCGTCAGAATACCTAGCTTAGTTTAGGTTAGAAGATCCACTCTACTATGTGTTGCACTATGTGACAAACTTTCCGTTACTTCCAATTTATGTTTCTCCATGATTTATGACAATAGAGACAAATAAGAAAGAATAAAATTTAAACTAATTTGTTAGGAACGCACAACAAACTTGAAAGTATTTTTACAATATCTTGATAATACAGAAGTAAACGGTAAAGCGCGTATGAAAAGAGATTTTCGTACACACAAACTATATATATATTCATATATATTGCATAATATTGATTTAATTTACTTTAAAATTATCACAAAATATAGCTCTTGAATTGTGACTTTTACTTTTAGAAAACTTTGGCGTCGGTCAAAACTTGGCTATTCAAACGACTAACAGCCCGACTCCTCCTCAGCCAGACTGGAAATCTGCAATCAAGAGCTGGTACGACGAAATAGCTTACTTCAGCAAAAATTACATAAGTCCTTTTGAGCCTCCACTGAGTGAACCAACATATGGACATTTCACTCAGGTAACCAAACAGTACTATCCAAATAGCTAATTTCTGGATTTTGATTCTTTCATTTACGTCCTGAAAAATAATTCTAGAGGCTGAAAGGCTAAATACGTATCTACTGCATTTAAGTAGGTAAAATAAAAGTATGTACCATATTTACTTAAAAATAAATTTCCTTAAATAAATCTCCTTAAAAATAAACATTGTACTTACATTTCAGAATAAATTTTAAGTAATAAAAACGTAGGTGATCATTTGATGACAGTAGCCAAGATTCTGCTTAAAATAAAAGTTACAAGTTAACTAAATGCAATGATTTACTACACTACAGAAAGAAAATTATGAAAAAGCTAATGATACATTATTGCCTGCTTGTTTTCAGGCATGCGAGTCGTCAGAATAGTGGATGCAGGTCTAAACTGAAATCTTTCAGCTAGACATGGCTGCTATAATAAGAGATGTCATTATTCAGTTTATATACATATGGTAATTACTTAAGTGATTTATTAAGTGTAATTATTTTATGTGGTATATTAATTAAACTACTACTTCTCATTCTGAAATTTAATTTATTAAAATATAAGTCTCTAGGACCCTACCAATTTTTACGATAAAATCTAGCGGAAAAAAAAAAAAAAAAAAAAAAAAAAAAAAAAAAAAAAAAAAAAAAAAAGATTTCTTTTCGAGTAAATACTGGAGTTATGTGACAGAGTGGTTCTGCACGCTGGGCCGGTATTCCAGAGGTCCGTAATTAGATTCCCGGCGAAGGCGTTGTTAATTTTTCATCTCTCCGGCTTTTCCAAAATTCCTAATGCCTCTACAGTGGCACCCGAACTAAAAGAGTGTTGGATGATGATTCTCCTCGCCCAGGATTTGGCGATTGGGTTCCCTAAAAACCCCAGTCGCCCTTTAAAAGGGAGAGTATATAAGGTATTTCTCCCACCTTCTTGGCGTGCCTTCGTGATGTAGTGGTTCTGCACGCTGGGCCGGTATTCCAGAGGTCCGTGGTTCGATTCCCGGCGAAGGCGATTGCTAATTTTTCATCTCTCCGGCTTCCCAAAAAAATCCTAATGTCTCTACAAAGTGACGGATATAGGAAACCATATATTTTCTTAAAAATGAGTAGTTTAATTTAAAAACACACACAAATCTTAACTCTAAACCTACGATAATCCTCAGTTTGACAATTTGTAGTTGTTTTTATCGGTGCAAAAAGCTTAGATAGTTTTTATTGTTAACAAACCTACTACAACTTGTACCAGAGCAATCTTCGCTGATACTAACTACTCTCTCTAGCAAGTCAGTATCTCTTCTTAAATTACTCATGATAACTAAAGAACGGTCTTCCGTAAGAATAAAATAGAACTAGTACTTTCCTTTAATTCTGTAATGATAGTGATAATACTCGTAATAATATAATACTTTCTTCTCGATCGTCTGTACTCGCACTAACAGAAACTTTTTTTTAAACGTCTTGATATGTTGACTGGAACTTAACAACTGCAGATCGTTCCTTAGTCTTGAGCCTAATGCTTTATGTTTACGCTTTAGGCAAGATATTTCCGTTGAACTATGATTTTTGTTTAGTATGCACGTTCTAACTACTTTTACATTCTTCATTAGAAAAATAATTTCATAATACCGGTTTATTACGATCAAATATGAAACTAGCTGTAGACATCATACAGAACTCTGAAATTAAAGAGTTGAAGGGGAAATGAATTTGGTTATGTATTCGTCTTATTACATCGATAATTGTCAACGTAAGTTAGGAAAGTATAAAAATAATGATTTTTGTAATTTTGCTCATGAAGTCCGAAATCCATCAAGTGATGAGTCCTGTAAATCTAGTTTTAAAACTGGGACGGAACTTTCCCCTCCTCCAGAGTACATTTCGGTCGACGTTTCTCGGAGACGAGATGGCTAAATAATCAATGGTCATTGTCCACTCCCGACGAATACTTAAGTTGCAACTGTCCGGCTATTTGAAACCATAGCAGAAATAACAACCATTCGTGTACTATGTATATGTATACCAAACACGGTAACTGCTTATATCCGAGTCAGACACTGTGGTATCATTTTTTTCACCTTTTATCTGTTTTACTGGAATCAAATAGGCATACTGGTCGAAATAATATTTTTTTGTTCCTGTATATTGCATGCACCATATTTCATTATTCTTGCATGACTCCTTTCAAGTATATGGCCTTTTTTTCCTCAAAGATTTTACACCCTCTTTTATAACAAGAAAAAACTTCGGTCATTCACATAGATACAAATGTGTTGTCAGAAGTTTCCAAACGCAGAGCGGGTTTGGCTTCTAGCTACACTTTGCCACAATGTACTTCATTGGCAGCAGCGTCCTCTTAAATATGATACAGATTTGCGTCTTCTGATAGGTTTGGAAGAAGCAAGACGTAAAAATAGGAAAAACGTTTTGATTTACTTTTTAAAACGAGAACCAGGTAGCTAAATTTAAATTCAAATTTAACAAATTGTATAAAAACAGGTTTCATTTGTTTTCATTTAAGTTGATATAAGTACATACTGTTACGGATTTTGTATTTAGTTAGTTATTTTTAGTAGAATTATAATTAAAATGGCTTTATGTCCCCATGCAATGCAGCGCGAGACATATTTTAAGAGAATGCTACACCGGAAAAGTAAAAATACAGGAGCACGCGCATTTAACATTTAATAAATAGATACCCCGTCATTTAGATTTAAATTGAATAAATGTAATTGACTACTTTGTTAGCTGTAACCGTAATTATACTCTTTTGCTTTCCAGAGAGAAACATCTCAGCTCAGTTGCCTAGTTACTGTTGATGCGATTTGTTTAGCTTTCTCTTCCTCTTTGAACTGCATTGTATTTTAACGTTTTTAGTAGTTTAAAGTATAGCTACTGGTTGTATTGCGTTCTATTTAACGTATCTGCGTTCTACTGATTATTACTGTCTGATATTGTGCTATTGTACTAATATCTCTGAGGAAAAATCCAGCATTCTGTTATATTTTTTCTGATAAGAATAAATTTTATTAACATTTTATCGGACTTGTGCATTCCATCTATTACGAACCCGTACGCACGCAACAATACTTTTCCTGAAATTTTAAATTGTAAATTCTAGTTTATATCAGTTTAAAATATAACATTTATCCTTAATAAGGTAAACAAAGTTCACCGTTTTGTAATTTGTTCAACATTTTGCAAAATATAAATAATATTTTCGTACAATTAAAACACCATTTGATTTAAGAAATTTTGGAACATTTTGCCAATGATTATCATAACTCGCTTATAAAGTTTGAATAAGAAATAAAAATTAACCTTTGTTTATTCTACAGCTCATATGGGCAAAAACATGGAGAGTTGGATGTGGTTTCGTTATGCACAACGCAGACGGTGTGTATACATTGCTTTACGTTTGCAACTATGGACCTAGGTGAATAGTATTTATTACATTTCTTTTATCTTAACCCTCTAAGTATCATGGCATTTGGGATCTATCAATGAAGAACTGTATTAAAATAGCTTTTAGTTGGTAAATTTGGGCAATTACTTATTTTAGCCTCTGTTTTAATAAACTTCCATTCATTAAGATTTTTACATGATGATGGAAAGCAGGAAAAGACAATAATTTAATTATAAGCTAATATGTAGCAAGTAATAAAATACACTTACGACAGTCACGCTACTCAGGAGTTTCAAATACTAGTAGAAATATTGTTATCTGTCAGACTGTAGAGTCTTATAGAGCAGGGGTTCTCAAACGGTGGTACGCGTACCACTAGTGGTACGCAAGAGAAAAATAGGTGGTACGCAAGGAAGCAAAGTATTTTTAAGCATTAAATTAAAAAAATAAAACCCCGACATCCTGATTGAGTTCTTTCTCTAACACTCGTAAATTTATGCGATCTGAGCTTTGTTTAAGAGTGGTGCTGGTAGTAGTTCTTTGTAGTGGTGGTACTAAAAGTTTTCAATTTTTGTTTAGATGGTACGCGTTAGTCAAAAGGTTGAGAACCGCTGTTAAAGAGTGTTTCGGAATCATAAACTGGTAGTCTTACTGAAAGACGAGATAGTGATTTCTCGCTAGGTCTTGAAAGAGATCACTGCAGAAGAAGGTTTTAATAACCTTTTAACCTTTTTATTTTTACCAAACTGAACAAAAACTCACTCACTCGGTGATCACAATCAACCACCACTTGTGGATAAGTAACTTGAACAGAAAATAAGATGTACAATCACAATAAAGTAAAGATTAGCTACAGGACTGGCTCTTTCTTTATCTTAACCCCTAATTCGGCTGCACACAGCAAAGCCGAGGCTAGAAGATCAATATTATCGAAAGAAAGTGGCTAGCACTGTATTCATCTACAAAGTTACTAAATAAACCACACGGCATAAATTCAGAGCTAAACTCTCCTACTTCGAACTCTTAAAACTGATACTTAAATACTGTTTCCAAACTCACTCAGATTTGCATATACGTCATTAAATTTACATTCTGGCAGAAAACTGAAATCAGATGGGAAAGGAAATTTTCTTAAACTAAAAATAATTGGTTAGAACCAAATAAGGTCTTTAAAAGGCATTTGCTAAAAGTATACGGTACTTAAAAAATTTTGTAATACTTACATAATATAAGTATAATATTGGATCTAAAGCCTAGAGTTTAGTCTTACATATTAAACTTCGCCTAATAATTTCTGAAAATAATGTGATGTCCCAGGCGTGTAAGGTTTTATTTTGTATACTGCTGGACAATTCTTATACTCCGTGATTCTTTTAACCGTACTTATAATATTAATGTGCTTGTAGCGTAATGTAAATCATAATTTAAAATAAATAACTTTAATTTACTGCGAAACTGTAAAACTCAATAATCTTTGTGTGAAAAAAATTCAACTGTCTTTCATTGAGTTGATGAGATTAAACTCCTTTTCGCACACTTTTTTTTATAGTATCAAAAATGATCCCAGGCTTCCTTTACAACCTGAATTACAAAAGAAATATACAGTAGGTACTGCTTAATGTAATCACTTTTGTTCTCGACTTTTTCGATAGCATTAACCGAATGATAATATTAAAAGATGAGAAAAAATGCCTTTCAAAAAAAGTAATAGAATTTAACTGATTTAATATATAAAAAAACAGTAACATATAAATAGGTAAGTTCACAACATTTTAATTAGGAAAAGGCAAAAGTTTTTTATGAACTCTTCCCAATGTCTTTAATGCAAAAGTTCATTTATGAATCATAAATATTACGTTTCTGGATAATAAATATTAAGTTCCGGAAATAACGTTTCTGGAAATTATTTAACTAATGCTTATCCTTAAGCTTATTGGGAGGGCAGCCCTCATTGAAAGAGAATATGCCAATATAAAATAAAAAATTAGGGGGGGGAATCAATCTTAGTAAGTGTTTTTTCATGGATTATTTTTTCTGATCTCTTTTTTTGACTCCCCACCCTCTCTTTTGAAGAAAGAGGATCTGTGTCTGAGGATCCTCAAAATCTATAAAATCTGCACTAATCTAAGGTTGCACTTTTTTGCTTAATTTAAATGGTTTATTAAATTCTAAACCAAACTGTTTGGTGACTTAATCGACTTAATCCCTTACTTTGTGATAACTTTGTCAAGTCATAGTGAAATATGTCTTGGTAAATTTTTATAAACTGTTCTGAATTTAATTGGCAAATTTACTTCAGTTTCAAAAATTAGTTCCATAACATTTTGATCATATTAATCGAATCGTTGATCACTGTTAGCGAAATATTTTCCATACATTCGTATACAAACGGGCGGAACTTCGGCAAATCAATAACAATACCGGAATCGTAACATTAACCACAATCACACAAAGCAACGTCTACTGTAGTTTATTAGCTGAATAAAATTATTGAATAATTTTAAATGGTTATACATGCGCCCTCCTGCGTGGTATGAGATTTCACAATAGTAAATCAAATCCAACTACTAAACACTTAAACTAAAATTGGTAGTAATGCTAACTTTAATTGGATTCGTAGAAACAGGGATTCTTTGAATAAATTTCATGTAACATGATTTGAAACAGACTTAGCGATTTGCTTAATTTTACCTAATTCAAACTGTACTTATGAACCATAGTAAGTGCATTAAATGCGAGGCGTCTTCTTGAATATTTATGCCCGTTAAAAATGATGAATTAGAAATTTAGATGCGGACTAAAATTTATATGTAAATTGAAGGTTTAAAGGTGAATTGAAAGTTAAAGATGAACTGAAGGTTTAAATGAATACCTAAACAGAACATTTTTATAATGCCAGACGAGAAATATTTTATATTTAAACTCATATGTGCTTTATATTATTGAACTACTTTAATGGATTGTAACATTAAGCTGAATTTCATGTGTTAAAACCCTGTTTAGCTTAATAATTATTTCTAAATATGTGCTATGATTACGTGGCTGAGAATCACGTATATTTATACTTAAGATTTTTAAAAAAAACTATCGTAATGAACAAACAACTAATGTATTTCAAAATTTTAGTGGCAACATTTCCCCGGAGAATGTATATAATAAAGGCCATGCCTGCGATGAATGCCCAGTGAATTCTTGCTGTGAGAAAACTTGTGATTCGGAAAAAGTGTACCCTGGTTTATGCAGTAAGCTACAATTAATCTGCATATTATGCTAAATAATGAGAATGAATTTTTATATAATATACTCGATAATCATAATGAACTTTTGCCTCCTCGTGTATACTATGTTATTTCATATAAGCTGTTTTGTATCATACAGGATGTTCGTAAACTTTTTCAACAAAATAAGAGGGATGTTAGTACTCATCTGTCTGAATAGTATTTAGAATAAAACGTAGGGCTGCATTCCACTCGGAGTGTCAGAAAAGAGTAAAGCTAAATGTCCAAGCTGAACATTCAACAATGAATAAAAATAAAATTAATGAAATCGTAAGTTTCAAAATCCTACTCAAATAAGAGAAAACGTTGATACTCAAAGTGGCGCCGAAGCATCGCGCTCACATTTCACACCGGTAGGCGAAAGACTGACGTTCTCCCTCGTAGACTCCAGGTATTTATCTTGTCGACTACAACAATGAATCTTGCGACGAGATTTTCCGCGGGTTCAACAAACTTCTCGTAAACCAATGGTTTCATCTGCTGCCTAAGGTAGATCAGTTCGGTGAGCATGGAGACTCAACCACAAATGCACCACACAGTTCCTTTAATTCCGTGTATATACAGTCCGTGCCAATTCCGTGTATATGCAGTCCGTGCCAATTCCGTGTAAATGCAATCCACTATAGCTTTCAGGAAGTCGTTCTGGACGATTTTATTCCAATAATAATCACAAGTATTGAGAATATAAAAGTTCGCTAAATGTTTTTAAAAAGTTCGCATCTGCTTGCTTTCTGTTGCCCCTTGATAAGTCAATAATGTGTTTCTTTTCTCTAGAATTATACATATAGCATATGCTTGAAGGTGTTGTTCTAAAATGTGCTTCTTCTCTGTCGGGGCAGAAATGACGACGGCTACTGGTTAGAGATGTTTCGAATTTACTCTTTTTTGACACTATGAGTAGAATGGAGCTCTAGGTTCCATTATAAATACTGCGCTTCTTGACGGCTACTATCAACCTTCTTCTTTTATTGAAACAGTTTTCGAATATCCTGTATATTTAGAAGCGATTTAAAACTTGTAATTGTATATTTAATTCATTTTCAGTATTTCTAGTGTGAAATGTATTGCAATTTCGTAATTTTATCCATTCATTAATGCACGATATTTCCGTTAACAGGATAATAACAGTTATTTATAATTGCAATGCAAATTACGAATTGTTCTAAAATTTGTGAAAAGGACACGACTGAATGCGATTACTTTCAGTCATAGTGATAAATATACATACGTACAAATATATGTACATATATATACACATAATTTTGAAATCAAAATTAATCTAAGGAAACTCAGATATCATATTCAGGTTGGAATAATCATTTGACACCCACATAATAAAACTTATAATGAAAACAACCATCGTAAAAAACAAATAAAAATACTATGAGAGCGGTTCCAAAATCTTCATACAAATCAGCGCAGTACAAAAACAAAATTCGTAAAAATAGTTTCTTCTAAGACATGACAAAGTGTGGAAAAATAAACTAATCTCAAAAGAAAAGCCTGTTTTTAAACTGCCAAAAAGTAAACTTATATGAAGAAAATATAAATTAAATCACTATATGAATTTATCAGTTGAATGACGAAGACGTGCCTATTGATGTAAAATGTGTTTGCCTTTACTTTCTTGTATCTTTCTTGGTTTGAGGAATTTGTTTTCATTCAGTTTTGGTTTGTCTGGAGATTTTAAACTGACAATTTTGCTGTTTTCGTACAAAATTATTTCAAATTGAGTATGATATTTGAATTTCTTTAGATTGTGTTTTAATTTTAATTCATATCACCCCTTATTAATGCAGTTTACAACGCATAATTTGAGTTTTGGATTTTGCATTTAATATCTCTTTCTTTTTAAATTATTAATTTTATTTATCTATTTACCTCTTCCTCTCTCTCTATATATATATATATATATATACAAACACACAGGGGGACGCATATGCTTTTTTTTAATGGGACGTCTTTCTTAATGTAGTGGAAGACAAATATAAATCGAAGTTTAGACAACAATGCGTTGACAAAGCAGTTGATAAAAATTCTTTAATGAAAGAAGCAAGCTACGTCTGCTAAAGCAGAACAAATTTTGAAAAAGAGTTAGAAACTGAAAAGTTAAAAGACTAATTGTAATGTGTCACCGGAAGGTCGAGAAATTATGCAAGTTCCAAAATGGATATTAATCGTAAATTGTGTCAAGGCATGACACATGTATCCTGTTACAAGCAATATATAAAATGAAAACACAACTGTAGCTTATGCTGTTATCTTAAAAATCTATCTATTTTCTCAAGATGGAGGTGAGGTTTTAACAAGTAGGACGAATTTTAAGACTGAATATGACTTCGTAACGCATGAATGTGACTAAGATGCCTTCCTTCTCACAAGCAGTTTTTGATTGCGATATTTCATTTCTGACTTCGTCCATTTTGTCTGAATTTAGAAGAGACGGACGGTACTTCATTTCTTAAGCTGAAAGTTTCCAATTTCTTGAAACCAGATTATTGCACAGAAAACCATTGGCTTCTTAAATTCACGAACAGTTTGGAAGGTCCGTTTAAACACTTCCATAAGTCTTTTGTAAGTAAAGCTTTATGCGGTTCAGCTGGATCATGAAATTTGGTTCTGTTTTGTAAAAACTCATCTCTGTCTTGTATCAAACAAACAGTTTTTAAAGCTAACGGTATAAATTGCAACTGTAATTTCAAGTAATGCGTTACACGTAACAATATATAAGTGTCACCTATAGATACATTTTGCCATTACTATTTATTTTAGAATTTCAAAAGATTTTGAATATTTGTTGGGTGAAACTTTTGGATCCCCCCGCATTTGCGAAAGTTATTGCACTAAAGATAGATCTATAGTTTTGAGAAGATGCCTGAATTAGTGATTTTCGTAAATGCTGAGACTCGAAAATGCAACTAGAGACCAATAATGACTACACTTAGCATATAAGTAAAGTCATTTACAGTGTAATAAGTAAAAGCAATTAATGCATGTCTTAAAATTACACCACATAACTTATTTCTTTCTGTTAAATTTATCTATGAATCAAGAGTTATTTGAAATATATTTAATTTGCTATATATACTTTTTTATGCTTTTATATTAACAAACACATTTAGCAATTTTCAAATTCTTAGCTTCTTATATGTATTTCAGAAATAACAGATAATAAAGCTCCAACATACAAGCCAAAAGGATTAAATCTTTTTTACTGCGATTTCAACGGACAATCTGATTGTGATTTTTACGTCACTGGTGAAAGTAAATGGGAAATATACACAACATTATCCGGTAAGTAACTTAACATTTGCTGAATACGTACGTGTTACCGTGCCAAGTTTTTACATCCGCTTCTGCTAGCATTCAAGCAACTACGAGGGCTCATTCTGCTCTCCGTATTAGGCGGGGGAGTGGGCTCTCAAGCTTTCCCGTGAAACACTTAAAGAACTCTTTTCCCCTTCATCCCACTGGATGCCCCATTTCTTGGTAGTACAAAGTAAATTTATCCATGACCACTTTACCCAATCGACTAACTTCCTGGACACTAGGATTATCTTCAGAGCCACCACAAAGGATATGGAGCTCAAGAAACCGGTGAAGGACTGGTCATCATGCTACCCACTCTTACAGCTGACGCCGCTACCCTCTGGAACAGCATACATTGCCCTTTTAGATAGTAGGAGGGCTCATGTACTTTATGCCTCTAGAGCCTGACAGTCAGAGTATAAAACTAAGCCATAATATGCGACACCAAGGGTGACTCCAGAATGATATATAAAAGTTTTATGAACTGTGTTAGAGCAGAAAAATGTTTAATCAGTTAAAGCTCTCATTGACCTTCTTGTCTACTTTAAATTCCTGTAAAGCTTCCTGCAGAAAATGCCACCATTAATGTCTGTGTCGTATTTGAAGAGGATGTCTTCACTATACACTAGTCTACCGATGGTATCTTTTTCAAAGATCGATCGTGTTCTGGATGCCTGTAGACTATGGATAGTGACGATTTGCCCAAAGTTCTAAAAGCGAAGAAGAATACCACTACTAGGGGGCAGCCATGTGAGAATCATTAACTATCTTTATGAACTTAGATAGCGCCCTTCTACACCTTAGAAAGATGCTCCTTCGGATGATTGTGGAATTTGTCTCAGAAGTTACCCATCGTGTTTGGAGTTTGGGCAGCATACCACTCGTAGAATGAATCACAAACGACAAATGAGCTAAGAGTTTCGTTAAAGACATTATGCCAAAGGAAAAAGGATAAATAGGAATATCGTGCAAAATGAAAAATGACGAGGGAGAGCATTTCTAGACATGCCTTTTAGTTAGCCGATGAGCGGAATTTTTCATGTGCCAGAGGTATGACGTAATAGGATATGTGCTAAATTTGTACAAAGTATTGAACTAACATATGTTTTTGATACAAAATCCGGTCTTTTTTTCAAAGGGCATATAGTTATGTTTCTTTAGTTAGATTCCACACCTCAAATTATGCTTAAATACAAAGCTTTTTTAAATTTGCATGATCAGTTCTTTTTAAAAGTAACCCGTAATATTAATGAATTTAGTTTATATAAGATAATACCTTTTTTTGTTGATTAAAGTTCCTTGCGTTCATTTTGCATTATCTGCAATTTAGGCTTAATACAAGTAAGTCATGAATGAAGTGATGCGTTCGTTTAAAGCTGAGTATCGTTCTGTGATTAATAAAGCTTTGAATAAAGATGGTCTTAATCCCAAAGAAATAAAACAACTTGTGGTTCATGTTTATAGAAGTGTTATTCTGTAGTGAAAGCAAAGATTAAATTGATTTTCATGAGCTAGAACACCTTAGATTCTTCTGAAGTTGGACCATTGGGCATACTGAGGTAAAAAAAAAAATACTGTTTGTGCGCAGGAGGAAATGCTGTGAAATAGAAGACTAAAGTAAAGGAAATAGCAGCAAGATTATGTCTATTTGAAAAACAATCGTTTTATGAAATCTACATGAATACCTTCACATGGATAATATCTCTTCAAAATATGTACCCCGAATTCAAAACTCAGTACAGTAATTCCAAAAGAGCAATGTGGGCTTAGGGAACGTAACCATCTCTTTACTGCCCAGGTTTAGCTCCAAGTAATTATTATCTGTTCTCGAAACTGAAATCTCACTGTCTTGAAAGTGGTTGAATGATGATGATGGCATGAGAAAAGCAATTATGAAATATTTTCAGGACTAAATTTCAGATTAATTTTTTAACGCTATCACCGCGGGGCTTGTGAAACCGTTACTCTTTTATCACTCTTGGAAATTTTAATAACTTATACAGAAAGTAAATAGATCTAAGAAAAGTGTTTAAGGGGTATTGGAACCCCAAAATCTTCAAAAAATTGTGATTTCGGATTTTTGCATTTTCAAATTCTCTACACTTTTATCTTTCTAAAAATACCATTCTTTAATCTCTATGAAAATTAGAACTGTAAAAAAATCTAGTTTAATTTGTCATCTACTGCTTTGATCAATGAGGATTTTTACATAAAAACGTGTTTTTCTCCAAACATGATTTTTTTATACTCGATGTACCTTTTCTCAGGAACTACTGCTCACAGGTATCTAAATTTTTTATGGCTTATTTATTAAGTTCCCTAATATTTACTGAAATGAGCTTTTTGTAATAAACTTAGAAAAAAAAATTTTAATTTTTTTGTGTGCTAAATTTTGCTATGCCTAACAAAATATTCTGTAATTTACTCTAAAATTCAAAATGCTTCAAAAGCTCATTTCGTTATAATCAGATAGGTATACTTTAATTACAGAAGAAATTTCAAGCTTGTATCTACAGCAGATTTTGAGAAAAGGTACATCGAAAATGGCCAATTTAACATTGTCGGTATAGGGGTTTCTGATACCCCTTAATATAAAATTAAAACTTCAAAGTACTTTGGCAATTATACTCAGAGTTAATAATGTAAATAATTTAAAGCAATGAAATTGGGAAAAACACCTTTAAAATTTCTAATTAAGTATCCCTTTTGTTTGAACTATACTTCTAAAAAGCTTTCTGATACGCGTTATAATTATGATATGGATTTGAAATTTATTGGATCATTTTATCAACATATTAAATAACATGTTGGGTCCCAAATTTTGGAAACTAACGTCCTTAAACATTTTATCAAAATTCAGTTTTTAAACGGAATTACTTCTTCTAATGACCCAGAATTTATTCTCACGTAGTAAATGTATAATTTCTTTTTTTAGGTAACTATTTAAGCACTGTACTTAATGGTGGAGAAAACAGTAAGATAGAATTTCAAAACCATATTTTCCCTACATCTGCTCCTTTCTGCTTCAGCATAACGTATCGTAAAGGGCCCAATCTAGATGGTCAAGAAGCCGAAAACACTCTAGAAGAAAATTTTGTAATAATTGGAGCTGGAACTAGTAATCAAATCCTACCAGACTTCAATCCAGAAGCCACGCACCAGTTCAGCAGATATGACATGACCTTACCATGGAGTATAGAAACTCAGGTTAGTTTGAAATTCATAGTATAAATAAAAAGCTTATCTTTTTCGTTTTATTCGCTGTTTACAGTTAGAGACTCGGGTACTAGATATAAAAACCGATAATTATTGGGCGAAAAACAACTCATTAATTGAAACATAGTCACCCAGATAAAATAACAATTCCTTTAGTAATTTGAAATTTGATATAAAGTAATAGGACAAAACAAAACACTTTACTTGGTTATCTGATCAGATACTTAATTGAAAAAAAATGAACTAAGGTTGTCTGTCTGGTGGAGGATACCTCCTTGAAGGATTTTCTAATAGATTGTGTCACATACCCGTTGCATATGAGGAAATTCACGAAAGTCATATGCGACAAATCGATTCTCCAGGAACCAAACCCAAGAATGTAGAATTTCCCACCAATCTTACAGCCAGTACCCACCAATCTTATCCACTCATTTTTAGAACAACAGTTTTATAAATTGCAAAAAAAAAAAAAAAAAAAAAAAAAAAAAAAAAAAAAAAAAAAAAAAAAAAAAAAATTGAACTGCAATATTTTGAATCAAAATTTTTTTAACTACATATGTTAGGAAAAGAAACAGCAAATACAATGCGGTAAAATAAGGTATTGTTAAATAAAAATCAATAAAGGTGAGATAAAATAAGGTGCGGCTGTGTTGAAAGAAGAGGAAGATTGAGTTAAAGTAAATAATTAACAACAGATACCTACTCAAATTAGGTGGTTGAGTCATAGCATACCCCTTTTTCAAGGGGGTGAGAAAATGAAAAGATTTTGACCATAAATCTTCCGTCATGACCAGGTTTGCTTGGGTACGAATACTCGTATTCCGATTTGAGCAACTTATTATATATTCGAGTTCGACATTCGATTTGAGACTATTGAGAGTGCAGGATTTTTGCGTGTAAGCTATACAGCTATAGCTTAGCCCCCCAAAAAAACCCTCTAATCTAAAAATCGTATTTGGCACTGATATATAATATCTGGACTTATGAAGGGCCCATATCTCAGATAGCTTAGGGCCTTATCAAGTCTAAATCCGGCCCTGCTTGTTGAGTGTCAAATTTTCCATATTTTCTCAAAGTTTCCATAGTTTCAATACAATAAAATACAAAAGTTAAACATATAAATTCATTTGAACAATTGCATTAGATATTACAAGTTTATGTGTTTTTTAAAAAAAGAGAGCAACTATTCCAAGTGGAGCTCGTTAATCCGAAATTTCAAAACAGTTTAATTTCCAGCACTGACTGATATTAAGTTTATAGTAGAATAACTGTGCATTTCGAAGAAATCTGACATAGTTACTTTGAAATGCATAGACTTCTTATCAAACTACGACGATAATAGTTTGGATTTGTTTCATATGAAGCCGTATATTTACATAATTTTATTTAGCTCCATTCGTGTTTAGCTACTTTCATGTTTTGTATAATGAAAGCTGTGAGGCCAAAGAGTAAGTATTTGATAATGACATAGCGGATTCCTATTTCTTAGAATATGTACTAATTAGCATAAAAACCGAAACAAAATATTGAAAGTTCTTACTATTTATGCCAGTAATTTTTCGCATAATAAAGAATAAAGTTTCTGTGTTGAAACTGACAACGGAAATTAATTCATATAAAAAATCGCGGGGAAAATACAATAATCAGTCCTTCAAACTGTAATTATTTAAATAAGGTTTAATAAAATAATCAAGCTTGCAAAACTGATTTGTTTCTTCAAAAATTCATACCTGGCGTCCTCTTAGTAGTTAATTTCAAGTGTTAAGTACTTTCAATAGATGGCAGCAGTGTACGATTCAAAGCAAAAATTATGAAGATAACCAAGAGTTCTCAAGTCCTTTTTACATCGACCCCTTTTAAAATAAGGGGTCAGAAGATCCTTTTTAAAATACTACTTTGGAAAGAAGCTATAAAACATAACCATAATACAAACAAATGCCCATAAAATAACTCACAGATAATATTTAGACTAAGAATATGAATGGAAGCTGTGAAAATAAATTGGTTATTAGATTTATGTTTTATTTATTTATTTATTTTTGTAATATTATTATTCTTAATTTTACAAATGTAAATAAGTTTTCAAAAACAAAATCACATATTCTATTTGCATTGTATATTCTAATTGAACATCAATTGTATGATTTTAATTAATGTCATGGTTGCGCTTGATGTACTGATAGAATTTGGCATAAATTGCTTAATTCTTAAATCACCTCGTTCACAAAGATTCAGCGTGTTTGCTTTCCGTAGTAAATTATTGACTTGACTAAAGCCTGATTCCGCTGGGTAAGAAGAGGTAAATGTCTATAACGTTGGTTCGACAGCAAATTTAATTTTGGGGTATTTCTCTTGGATGTCTTTAAAATTTCAAAACTTAGCATACCCACGTATTTCGAATAAAAAAAAGTTCGATAAACTCTTTTTTGCATCGTAGTATCAAAATCAGATGTACCGTAGTTGAGCGGATCTATGACATGTGCTGGCACATTTAAATTTTCAATGTCTTGGAAATCACATTAAACACACACATTAAAACCTTTTACATTTTTGCAAGCGACTTGTACATACAATGCATCTTCTAAAGAAATAAAATCCTTTTTAACAACGGATTAATCGATAACAAGGAAAAAGAACTAATATAGAGCGAGGTAAAATAGCAACCTTTGTTGCAGACTTGTGCATGGCCAGCTGTCATTGCTGGTTTATCTTCTATTGCCGTGTAAATCAGATTAAGCGTGGACCTACATACGAAGTAGACATACTACTGATTCTTAATTCTTATCTCTACATTCAAATATTCAGACATCTTTTCTCAAGAATTTATGCTATATTTAGCATTCTGAACATTCTTTTAATTTCAGTTGGCTATTATCTTAAATATAAAAGGTCATTTCTAAAGATATTTTAGTGTGGAGATTATTATTAAGCGCTATAAATGTATACAACATTCTACTGTTTCATATAAGTTTTGACTCGAAAAATTTTGTAATATGATTATTATAACCAGCGTTTTTTAAACTTTCTGGTGTAGGGACCCATAATATTTACGAAAATTTTGTGGGACCTCCCCCATAAACATTGCGCAAATCCGACACGCGTGTGAGTGAAAGTATCAATTTCTTCACCTGTATTGTAATATACTATTGCATTTTTAAGTCATTAACTTTAATTTTTAAGATCTAGAACAACGTGAAAATTTTAAATAAGTAACAAACTTAAAAATATAAAACAATAATAAAAATAAATTCAATTACTTGAGTAAATTCAAACATTGACTATTGTCTGCCCAATACGTGTAGCCGCTTCGAAGGTTACTGCTGAGAAAACCCACTTACTTCTAACATTGCATATGCGAGGATTGAGTCAGGATTAAGAATAAACAGGCATACCCTATAAGGTATTTCTCCCGCCTCCTTAGTATGTCTTCGCGTATTCGAGAGGCCCGAGGTTCGAGTCCCGGAGAGGGAATTGCTCATTTTTCATCTCCTCTGCTTCGAAATAACTTAATGGCTCCACAGCGGCGCCCGAGCTAAAAGGGTAGTGGATGGCAGTCCATCCGGTAAATTGAAATATTTTCCATCTCTTTTTTGTTCAGTTTTCTGTTTTTTATACTTATTATAACGATGCCGTACATTTAAAGGCTACTTAAGAAAATATTTTCTCAAACGGTTCGGTTTCTTGCGGGATTAATGCAATAAGCCCAAGGTCGTGAAGCCTTAGTAAAAAGAAAGCAGATTAAAATGCAATATTCTTTCGGTGAACGTTTAAACTAGCTACCAGATACATATAAGAAATAGATAACTCAAGAACTTCAAATTAACCATTTTTGTTTAATAATTTTTAATTACTATTGATCAATAATTGTATAGAAATAGCTCTTGTTCACATAAAATAGTGGTTAAAATGAAAAAAAAAAAAAAAAAAAAATTCAACACTTGACTAACAATCATAAATCAAATTAGATTAATTTTTAGATTTTGAATATAGTTCTTAGAATTATCAGTAACATGTAGTTGTCTAGCCCTATTTTCATTTGGTTCCATTATGGTGAACTTTTATGACACTTCCACGCAATTGATTTGCTACTTACACAACACTTTTTTGTTTGATACCGAATTTTTGACAATAAGAACTTGAAGCTGCTATACCATGGCTTCCGAATTTGGTTTCATTCGTTGCAGCTTCACAAACAGATATATTTTTCTGGAATGCATTCAAAGATTTGTGTACCAGAAGTCTGGAAATTATATCTAGGAAATCATGTTTTCATAATACTACTTTTTGTTCCTGTCTGTCAAAATGTTACTTTTATTTTTAAGAATACCTACAATTAAATTATGACAGTCTAAAGGGCTATGGTCTGTTTTCAGGACATTTAACAAAATTAAGTCTCCAATAACAACCGGTTTCTTCATTTTTCTAACCAATCATTTTTCTAGGCCCATAAGAGGCAGAGGTAAAATCGCTTAACGTTGGTAGTTCTAACCTGGGTTCGATTCCAGGCAAACGGAATGGTTTCGCGGGCATTTTCGTAGCTTTCAGCATGCGTAGCGTGTATACTAGCCAGTTTCTCTTAGAAAGTCTGTAGAGACGTTAGGATTTTTTGAAGCCAGAGAGATGAAAAATTAGCAAACGCCTTCGCCGGGAATTGAACCATGGACCTCTGAAATACCGGCTCAGTGTTCTGACTACTACACCACGAAGGCACGCTAATGAAGCGGGAGAAATACCTTATATACACCCCTTTTTAAAGGGCGACTAGGATTTTAGGGGACCTAGTCGCGAAATCCTGGGTGCGGAGAATCATTATCCACAACCCTTTCAGTTCGAGCACCATTTGTAGAGACATTAGGATTTTTTGGAAGCCGAAGAGATGAAAAATGAGCAAACGCCTTCGCTGAGAATCGAACCGCGGACCTCTGGAATACCGGTCCAGTGTGCAGAACCACTACACCACGAAGACACGCTAGGGAAGCGGGAGAAATACC